GGCAATTGGGTAAAGTAATTTCCAACTCTCTTTATCGGCCGCAAGTAAGCTATTCTGCTTTAAAAGAAGAAAATGATTGTCTTCGGGCTGAAAACAAAAAGTTAATACAAAAAAAATCAGATTCTTATTAAAAAAACAAAATCACTTGGGTTTCAAAATCGTCACTTCTAGCAAAAAACATCTCGCCAAATATCTGAAATACGCTCTTTAGTTCGTAGGTCTAAAAACGTTTCCTCAGAAGAGTTTAAAAAACAAGTTAAAACTCTTTTTAAATCCAATGATCGGCATTATTCCTCAAACATGATTTGGCTTACAACTAAACTAGCCCAAGTCAGGCAAGTTTTAGTGCGTGCAACTGTAGAATGCACAAAATTAATCTATGAGTTTTTAACGGGTGAATCTCCAAAAAGTTGGCTTTCAACAGAACGTGTCTCAACCTGACATAAACAAATATCAGAATTATCCATTTCTAATTTAGCCAAGCATGCTTAACAATCAAGTGCATTTGGCATCTCTGCTGATGAATCAACTCGCGGTCAAGACAAGAACCTGATCATCTGCTTTATATACTGGGATAAGGAACTAAATTACCCAATAGCAAGTATGGTTAGTTTAAAAATTATTAAAAAGTATAATTCTGATACTATCGCAAATTCAGTCGTTGAAACTTGCCAGAAATATCAACTTGATACACGAAAGTGTATGACATGGCTTACCAATAATACCGGGTATATGTCTGGAAATGCGAATGGTGCCATTGTTAAATTTAATAGATTGTCAAATTTTAATTCAACTAGAATTGGGTGCACATTACATATTATTAATATTGTGTTTACCAATTTTGAAAACGAAGCATTCGGACGGGTATCTGGGTTTTCAAGAAAACCTCATCCATTTAATCTTCTATATCTTGCTTGGTACCTCCACGACGGTTATGAAAATAAAAATAGCAATGCACCAATGAATATAAAATCCGAATATATTCAATCGCTTTATAAATCGCTTATAGGACATAGCTATTCACAATATCAGATGCCATTACAAACTCATTGGGGAAATGAATTGCGTATGGCTGAACAATATCTTGAGAGAAAGGAGTCACATCTTGAGTTTGCGGAATGGTTTGTTAAAGTATTAGAATCTCATCCCAATATGACACAATCTTATTTGAACGATTGGCATCTCTTTCGTACCTGGCTTAATGACAGAAAGCTTAATATTCAGCTAAAGTGCCTAACAAGATTTGGTCAAGATTTTTTCATCCCATTAATGACATTTCTTGTTGGCCAAGACTCTGTGCCATGAATATTTAATGGTAAAAATTGGATAAATCTATCTCCTGGTCGACATGGCCATGAAATGCCTGACAAAGTCTTAGAGTGGTTGAAGTTTTTAACGAACGGCACAGATAATTTTGATATATTTTTTTCTGAAGAATTACTTGAGGCACTCGAATCGTTAGATGAATTAGAATTTGGTAAGATATTTGATTCGTTGGAAAAAGGCATGAAAAAAGCAATAATTCACTTTGAAAAATGGATGCTTCAGTGGATGAAATTACCTTTATCCATTTGTCGATTAGGAGGGAATAACGCCCAGTCTTTTGCTAGAAGTTACCGTCATGTTTTTTTAAATATTCCAATAGTTCTTCAGCCATCTGAACAAGAAATAATCTACATAAAACAACTTGAAGATGACGTTAAAAATAATACTTTTGAAGATTTTGGGTTGAAAAAATTATTTGTTTCGGATTTAGCTTTTCGCGAACAATTTAATAATTTTTGCGACGCATCAAA